TCGGGAAAAAAAGGCCCCCGCCCCTTCGGACCTTCGCAATTTGATTTAGGGCCCGAAGGGGCGGAAAACAATATTTCCCCCCCCCCCTTGGATTTTCCACAATGCCATTAAGGATCAGAAGAGTAAAAAAAATCTCCCCATCACACCCTCGACAATCCGATTTAGGGTTACAAGGATCAAAAAAAAAATTCCCCTTCTCCTTGGACTTGCCACAATACAAGTAAGGGTCAGAAAGGTAAAAAAAATTTCCTGACCACATCAAAACCATAACAATCCGATTTAGAATCAGGAGGGTCAGGAAAAATTCCCCTTCCCCTTGGACTTGCCACCATACGATTAAGGGTCAGAAAGTTGAAAAAAATTTCCTCACCCCATCAAAACCGTAAAAATCCGATTTAGGGTCAGGAGGGTTAGGAAAAATTCCCCCCCTTGCATCTTTAACAAAGAACCCAAAATTCCCCCCTCCCCCCAACGCGCCCATCGCACCCACAACTACCCGATTTAGGATCAGAAGGGTCAAAAACAAATCCCCTTGGATCTTCCACGATCAGATGCGGGGTCTGAAGGGTCAGAACCCGGGGGGGCCCCCGAGGACCCTTCACTATTCACTTTAGGGTTACAAGGGTAAAAAAAAATTTCCTCCACACTTGGACTTCCCACAATGAGATTAAGGGTCAGAAGGGTAAAAAAATCCCTCCTCCCCACTCATCACACTTTCAACTATCCGATTTAGGGTCAGATGGGTAAAAAAAAAATCCCCCTCACCTCTTGGATTCTCCACAATCCGATTTAGACCCTGAAGGGTAAAAAAAGCCTCCCCCCCACTCGGATTCTTTGCTATTCGATTTAAGGTCAGAAAGGTCGGAAAAAAAAATTTCCCCCACGCTTGGACTTTCCACAATGCGATTTAGGGTGACAAGGGTCAAAAAAATTCCCTCCTCCTGGACTTCCCGCATTGCAAGTAAGGGTCAGAAGGGTGAGGGAAAATTACCCACCCCCCCTTGGATTTACCACAATGTAATTGAGGGTCAGAAAGATCAGGAAAAATCCCCCCCCCCTCGCACGCTTCGCAAATCGATTTACGGTCAGAAGGGTAAAAAAAAATTTCCGCCGCCCCCGAGGACACCCATCAATGCGTTTACGGGTCAGAAGGGGGAAAAAAACCCTCCACCCCTCTCATCGCACCCTCAACTATCAGATTTGGGGTCTGAAAGGTCAGAAAAAAAGACCTACTCGCTCGGACCCTTCGCTGTTAAATTTAGGGTCAGAAGGGTAAAAAAAAATTCCCCCCACGATTGGACTGTCCACAATGCGATTAAGGGTCAGAAGGGTCAAAAAAATTACCCCATCGTACCCTCAGCTATCCGATTTAGAGTCAGAAAGGTAAAAAAAAATTACCGCATACATATGATATGGTGGGTTTTATTATGTAGTATCAAAACATAAGCGAGTCCTAAACATAACCTTAAATTCTGTGAATAAAACATGCAGACCGATAAGCTATTTATTAGACACTGCATTCGCTATGAATTCCATCAAGGAAAAACTGTTAGGAAAGCATGTCAATCGATTTTTTCTGTTCTTGGGAACAACATTGTACCTAAAAATATGCGACTGTCTTCAACCCCCCGGAGAAACCGCATGATCATGTATTTTTCCCGGAATTCATTTTTTTTTCATTTATAAAAAATTAGCGCATGTTTCCGGAGGGGTAAATTTTGTAACTATGTAGTCTCAACCCCTCCCCTCACACCCCTAAATTTTCATCCCTCCGGATATAGGCGGCTGTCTTCAACCCCCCGGAGAAACCGCATGATCATCTATTTTCCCCGAAATTCATTTTTTTTAATTTATAAAAAATCAGCGCATGTTTCCGGAGGGGCAGATTTTATAACAATGTAGTCTCAAATCCCTCCCCCTCACCCTCCTAAATTTCCATCCATCCGGATATAGGCGGGTGTCTTCAACCCCCCGGAGAAACCGCATACTCGTGTATTTTCCCCGAAATTCATTTTTTGTTAATTTATTAAAAATCAGCGCATGTTTCCCGGGCAGTAAATTTGATAAAAATGTATTCTCAGACCGCTCCTCTGTAGGAATTGAGGTTGTTGAGGGATGTAACAATTCACTAACAAAGGTAATTAGTATTTAAATTACAGTTTAATCAAGACGTTTAGAATATATATACAAAAGAGAAAGAATAATCAAAGTGATCTGATCAGAGGTCAGTGTTAGACTCTACTGACTATCTTAAATCGCGTAAGACGGGAATTCGGATACGCATGACAATAGGTGCGAGCGAGAGGTATTTTATACTGGGCGCGTGACAGAGCGCGATGATGTCACCAATGTCCAGTCGTCTCTCAGCGTTGTCGTATCCGTGCGTGTGTTACGCGTTGGTGTGTGTGTGTAGCGAGACGCTACATGACTCCCTGCTTAAGTGAAAAAAGGTAGTTTTTCAGCACTGCAACAGAAAAAAATTAATCTCGGAACAGGTGAAATGTAATAAGCAGGTGAAAAAAAAATTTGTTGGTGAGGAAATTTAGACAGTATAGACGTGGATTGTCGGTCTGTTCGCGAAATTTACGCGTCTCCTCGGCCTCTGAGTCCTGTTCGCCGTGCTCGTGCTCGGCTGCGGCTGATTCTGTTGTTGTTGAGACTCTTCTGATACGTCTGGCGGTGGAGGCTGTCCTTGGATCTCGTCCATGTCCTCCGGCAGTACGTACGCTGGTTTCAGTCGGTCGATGGAGATCGGTGTATTCTTGTAGTTACCCAATCCTCCGGACTTGTACCAAATGACGAAGTATTTGTCATAACGACTGATTACCCGGCATGGGTCGATGTGTGGTGATCGGTATGCCATTCGCACGTGGTCATCGCGGACAAAAACGTGTACACATCGTTAGATCCTTGAAGATGAAGGTTGAACGTGTATCGTGATGTGCAGCGGGAGTCGGCGCGATCCTGCGGAAATGCTCGCGTAGATTTCTCACCAATTCCGGTGCTGCTGCATGTTGGTTCGATGGGATGAGGAATTCTCCGGGTAGACGGATCGATTCCCCGTATGTTAGCTCGGCGGGAGTCGTTTGAAGGTCCTCTTTCCACGCGGATCTCAACCCTAGAAGTACCAGGGGAAGTGCGTCGTAGAAAGCTTCGCCATGGCATCGCAGTGCTGCTTTTCGTTGGCGATGTATTCTCTCAACCATGCCGTTTGATTGAGGATGAAATGGGATCGACATCAACCTCTCGGTGCCCAGAATTCGCGTAAGCACCTTGAAGGTGTCTGAGAAGAATTGATCGCCCTGGTCAGATGTAATTCTCAGGGGGATGCCGAAGCATGCGATCCAGTGATAAAGAATCGCGTTGACTACTGTTGACATCCTCGAGTCGATCAGTGGAAGTGCTTCTGGGTATCGCGTAAATCTGTCGACGATGGTCAAGCACCAGCTGTGTCCTTTTGAGGCAGGAAGAGAGACTAAATCGACGTGTATGTGTTCGAATCGTCGTGATGGTGTCTCGATGTTAGCTATTGGTGTGACCGTGTGTCGCGTTAGCTTGTTTTTCTGACACTCCAGGTAGTGTTTGATCCATTGGGCACAGTCTTTGTTTATGCCAGGCCACACGTAGCGTTGTGTCACGAGTTTCCGCGTGCCTTTGGGTCCAGGATGAGCCATTGAGTGCAGTGAGCTGTAGACCTGTTGTCTCAGCGGAGCAGGAACGTATGGGCGAACTGTATCTGATGATACATCAGTACAGAAACTTGGAATCGCACGTGTTTCTGCGAAGAAATTCAAGTTTCACAGTACAGTGGTTCGTCCATTCCTGGGAATTGTAAGCGGTCCAGTCGCAGGTTCACGTCCGGTCGCTGGAGTAATTGTCGGAGTGCTTGATCGTCGCGTTGGGCATCTACCAGCTGCTGAGGTGTGACGGCAGTCGTGATTTCCTCTACTCGTGATAGGGCGTCTGCCACGACGTTGTCTGGGCCCGCGACGTATCTGATGTCCGTGGAAAACTGGGCGATGTAGTCCAGTCTCCTGTATTGCCAGGGGAGCTCGTTCCGGTTTCTGTTGGAACGCATGAGTCAGCGGTTTGTGATTGCTGAAAATTATCACATGTCGTCCTTCAAAGATATGCCTGAAGTGCAGTACTGCCTCGTAGATTGCTTGCAATTCCCTGTCGTAAGCCACGTGTTTCTGCGAAGAAATTCCAAGTTTCTTGCTGAAAAAGGCTAACGTCTGCCAAGAACCGTGGTGTTCCGGCTGTAGAATGGCGCCGATCGCGTGATGCGACGCGTCTGTGAAGATAGCCCACTCTGCCTCGATATTTGGATGAGACAACAGAGTGGCTTCTGCTAGCGCTTGCTTGCTGCGCGTGAATGCTTCTTCAAGGGCTGGAGACCAGGCTACTGGTTGCTTTCCCTTGACGTTCGTCCCCTGAGTCGCGGCGTTCAGCGGGGCGAGGATTTCTGCTGCTCCTTTGATGAACTTCCGGTAGAAATTTAGAGTTCCAAGGTATCTGCGTAGCGATTTAACCGTTGTTGGCCTTGTGAACTCCAGGATCGCGTTGATTCGATCATTGGGGGGTTTAATACTTTGAGCGTTGATCACCTGTCCGAGGAAAAGTACCTCTGGCTGTCCGAGGACTGATTTGGCGACGTTGATTATCAGCCCGTAGTCCTAGAGTCGTTGGAAGAGGATCCTCAGGTGCTCGCGATGTTGCTCCGCGTTTTCCGATGTTACCAAGATGTCGTCTATGTACGGGAACAAAAATGGTCGATCGCGTGTGACCTCGTCGATCAGACGTTGGAATGTCTCAGCTGCGTTTCTGAGGCCAAATGTCATGTATGGGAATTCGAAGAGTCCAAATGGCGTGATTATTGCCGTTTTCTGGATGTCTTCGCGTGCCACTGGAATTTGGTTGAAGGCTTTAACCAAATCTATGGTGGAAAAGATTGTTTTGCCATGAAGGTTGGCAGCAAAATCTTCTATATAACGAACAGGCTACTTATCTGGTATTCTCCCGTCGTTGAGTGCGCGGTAATCACCGCATGGCCTCCATCCGTTGTTGCCCTTAGGGGCTAGGTCGAGCGCGGATGCCCAGGGACTTTCAAATCTCCTCGCGGTTCCGAGCGTCAGCATGCTGGACAACTCCGCTTGAGTGGTTTTGAGTTTATCCGGCGCTAGGCGGCGAGCTCTGCAGGAGATTGGTGGTCCTGGTGTTGTCCTTATGTGATGAACGGTGGAGTGCTTCGCTTTTCTGAGCAATCTTCCCGGTTTTGCTATTGTTGGGAACTCTTTGAGGATCGACGCGTACGGTGAATCCTCCTTGATCTCGAGGAGTTTGACAGACGTCGCGCGGAATCGCGCGGACTGGCCATTCGATTGGAGGCCTGTCGCGCTGTCGATGATTGCTCCGTTTCTCAAGTCCGGTAGCAGACTGAAGTGATGCAGGAAGTCAGCACTGATGATGGGTTTACTGACGTCTGCTTCGATGAATCGCAATGTGAAATCTCTGCGGAAACCGAGATCTGGCGAGATGGAGCCGTACGTATCAATGAGGGTGCCATTGGCCGCGAAGAGTTTATAGCCACTGGTCTCCCTTTGGCTTGGTGACCGCCTGCAAGGCGTGACAGAGACGTCTGAGCCTGTGTCCACTAGGTATTGGGTCCCAGTTGTTCTGTCGGTGATAAATAGGCGGCGGGATTGTGATTGAGAGACGACTTCCGCCATTATTGTCTCTCTCTGGCGTTTCCTTGAAATTTACCACCGGGTAGGCAGTTACGGGCGTTATTACCATGCTTGTGGTGATACCAGCAGGTGTCAAAATTCTTTGATATTTTCCTCGAGCTGGAGCGTCGGCGCGAGTGGCTGCGCTGACCCTGTGAGCCGTCTCGACGTGTTCGTGAACGAGACCGTGGGTCGCGCGTTTGCATGGTGGCAACGGCCGCCGTCAGCTGCTCAATTCGCTCGAGGAGCGCCATGTTGACTGCGTTGGCTGGCGAGCTGGTGATTGCTGTGACGCTGTTCGGGTTGAATACCTCGTGCACCCTGTCTGCTAGCTTCGCGAGATCATCAATGGAAGTGTTCTCCTGGGTGGCCAGTGTAGCTCGCGTCTGCTCGGGGAGATGAGACAACCAGCGCGTTTTCAGGACCTCGTTGTCAATGCCTGGAACAAGTCTTTTTAAATGTCTCAGGTGTTTGGACGGGGTTCGATCCTCAATGCTCTCCCTGTCGAGCAATTGGATGATGTTCGCAGTCCTGGATTTTGTGAAACATCTGATTAGTTCGTTTTTTAATGTTTGGTATGGATTTGTTACAGGTCTGGAGACAATTAAATCTTCGATTTCTGCCGCGTAAGCAGTGTCGATCAGCGGTACCGTTTTGTTGTACTTATCTGACTCGGTGACGTATCTCAGGTCAGCGAACTGTGTATCCAGCTGCGCGAACCATAGCGCGGGTTTGTCCGCGTCGAACGGCCTTGCGATGATGAGCTTGAGCCTCATTATGGCCGTTGCTGTCGTTACGGTGGGAGTTGTTTGGATGTCAGCTGCTGTTGTCACCATGTTGACTTTATTTTATTTCATTTCAGCGGGAAATAAAATCGATGAATTTTACTTCATAGCGCGATTAAGCTTAAGGAATAAATGTGTGAGAAAAATAAACGCTGTTGTAGTCTCTACTTGTCACCAACACAACACAACGTCTATGGGTGTTCGGCCATGTGTCGGCGCGAGGTGACAAATATCCACTCGGATATCACTTTTATTCGGTTTGTTTTGGTTCTGCGAGAACAATGGGAAACCAAGGTCTTTACGCTCGGACGGTTGGAATGTTCCAGAAATCTCGAGACGCCGTCGTTTAAAAACCGAAGCGTGGGTCACACAATGAAATTACTTATTTTCAGAAGCGCGCCACTTAACTAGAATGCACTCGCGGGATTCACTGCAGTACTTGAAAAACTGAGTCGCGCGTGTTGTCCGGAAGAACAGATGAGAACGCGTGGACGAGAGAATGAATTTTTCAGTTGCACTACATGTGCGCGAGACGCGAGGGTTTTCACTTTTGTCGTTTAAAACGTCGAATTTCCCTAATTATATCACGTCGGGGTCACCAATATAGGAATTGAGGTTGTTGAGGGATGTAACAATTCACTAACAGATGTAATTAGGATTTAAATTACAGTTTAATCAAGACGTTTAGAATATATATACAAAAGAGAAAGAATAATCAAAGTGATCTGATCGGAGGTCAGTGTTAGACTCTACTGACTATCCTAAATCGCGTAAGACGGGAATTTGGATACGCATGACAATAGGTGCGAGCGAGAGGTATTTTATACTGGGCGCGTGACAGAGCGCGATGATGTCACCCATGTCCAGTCGTCTCTCAGCGTTGTCGTATCCGTGCGTGTGTTACGCGTTGGTGTGTGTGTAGCGAGNTACTTGAAAAACTGAGTCGCGCGTGTTGTCCGGAAGAACAGATGAGAACGCGTGGACGAGAGAATGAATTTTTCAGTTGCACTACATGTGCGCGAGACGCGAGGGTTTTCACTTTTGTCGTTTAAAACGTCGAATTTCCCTAATTATATCACGTCGGGGTCACCAATATAGGAATTGAGGTTGTTGAGGGATGTAACAATTCACTAACAGATGTAATTAGGATTTAAATTACAGTTTAATCAAGACGTTTAGAATATAAATATAAAAGAGAAAGAATAATCAAAGTGATCTGATCGGAGGTCAGTGTTAGACTCTACTGACTATCCTAAATCGCGTAAGACGGGAATTTGGATACGCATGACAATAGGTGCGAGCGAGAGGTATTTTATACTGGGCGCGTGACAGAGCGCGATGATGTCACCCATGTCCAGTCGTCTCTCAGCGTTGTCGTATCCGTGCGTGTGTTACGCGTTGGTGTGTGTGTAGCGAGACGCTACACCCCCTCACCCCCCTCAATTTTCATCCGTCCGGATATACGCGGCTGTCTTCAACCCCCTAGAAAAACCCGTCTCATGTATTTTTCCTGAAATTCATTTTTCAAAAAAAAAAAAAAAATCAGTGCATGTTTCCGGAGGGGTAAATTTTATAACAATATAGTGTCAAACCCCTCCCTCTCACCCCCCTCAATTTTCATCCCTCCGGATATATGCGGCTGTCTTCATCTCCCCGGAGCATCCGCATGATCATGTATTTTCCCCGAAATTCATTTTTTTTTAATTTATAAAAAATCAGCGCATGTCTCCAGAGAGGCAAATTTTATAATAATGTAGTCTCAAACCCCTCCCCCTCACCCCCCTAAATTTTCATCCCTCCGGATGTAGGCGGGTGTCTTCAACCCCCCGGAGAAACCGCATACTCATGTATTTTCCCCGAAATTCATTTTTTTTCAAATTTATTAAAAATCAGCGCATGTCTCCAGAGAGGCAAATTTTATAACAATGTAGTCTCAAACCCCTCCCCCACACCCCCCTAAATTTTCATCCCTCCGGATGTAGGCGGGTGTCTTCAACCCCCCGGAGAAACCGCATACTCATGTATTTTCCCCGAAATTCATTTTTTTTCAAATTTATTAAAAATCAGCGCATGTTTCCGGGGGGGGGTGGTAAATTTTATAAAAATGCAATCTCAGACCCCTCCCCCTCACTCCCTTCAATTTTCATCGCTCCGGATATATGCGGCTGTCTTCAACCCCCCGGATAAACCGCATGATCATGTATTATCCCCGAAATTCATTTTTTTTTAATTTATAAAAAATCTGCGCATGTTTCCGGAGGGGAAATTTCATAAAAATGTAATTTCAGACCCCTCCCCCTCACCTCCCCCAAATTTTCATCCCTCCGGATATATGCGTCTATTTTCCACAGATAAAAAAACCGAGGTGGCGAACAAATTAATTTATTTATTGAATTAATGAATTTTTTAATTTGAGGCGCTACATAACTCCCCTGCTTGAAATAAAAAAATATAGCTTTTTGAATCTGCAACAGAAAATGATTATTCTAGGAACAGAAAAATTTGTCAGATTTGGCAAGCAGGTGAAGAAAAAAATTTTGAATGAGGAGACTTAGACGTGGTAGACGTGAATTGTCGGTCTGTTGGTGAATGTTACGCCTCTCCTCCGTCTTGCAGCAGCGGGTGCCGTGCTCGTGTTCAGCTGCGACTGGTCCTGTTATTGAGGCTCGTCGGGTACGTCTTATCGGTACGCCGGCAGTATGTACGCTGGTTTCAGTCGGTCGATGGAGATCGGTGTGTTCTTGTAGTTGCCCAAACCTCCGGACTTGAACCAGATGACGAAATATTTGTCGTGGCGACTGATGACGCGAAATGGGCCGATGTATGGTGGTCGGTATGCCATTCGCACGTGGTCATCGCGAACGAAAACATGCGTACACGTTGATAAGTCCTTGATGAAGAATGTTGAACGTGTACCATGGTGTGCAGCTGGAACAGACGCGATTGTACGAAAGTGTTCGCCTAGATTTCTCACCAATTCCGGTGCTGCCGTTTGTTGGTTTACTGGCACGAGGAACTCTCCGGGTAGACGGATAGGTTCCCCATAGGTTAGCTCAGCAGGGGTCATTTGAAGGTCGTCCTTCCACGCGGATCTCAACCCTAAAAGTACCAGGGGAAGTGCGTCGAACCAAGCTCCGCCGTGACATCGCAGTGCTGCTTTTAGTTGGCGATGTAGCTTCTCAACCAAACCATTTGATTGAGGGTGAAAAGGCGTTGTCATGATCCTCTTGGTGCCTGGGATTCGCGTGAGCTCCTTGAACGTGTCTGAGAAGAATTGACCACCTTGATCAGATGAAATTCTCAGAGGTATTCCGAAGCGTGCGATCCAGTGTTAGAGAAGCGCATCAACTACTGTAGGCAATTTTGCATCAATCAATGGAACTATCTCTGGATACCGCGAGAATCGATCGACGATGGTCAAACACCAGCTGTGTCCTTTTGAGGCAGTAAGAGAGATAAGATCGACGTGTATGGGTTCGAAACGTCGCGATGGTCTCTCGATTTCAGCTATTGGTGTAACCGCGTGTCGCGTGACTTTGTTTTTCTGGCATTCCAGGCAGTGTTTGGTCCATTCAGAGCAGTCTTTGTTCATGCTGGGCCAGACGTAACGTTGTGTGACGAGTTTCCATGAACCTCTGCATTCAGGATGAGCCATTGAGTGCAGCGAGTTAAATACTTGGTGTCTCAGCTAGGCAGACACATATGGGTACACTGTACCTAATGACATATCACAGTACAGTGGTTCGTCCATTCCTGGAAATTGTAGGCGGTCCAGTCGTAGGTTCACGTCCGGTCGCTGGAGTAGCCGTTGAAGCTCTTGGTCGTCGCGTTGGGCATCTATGAGCTGTTGCCTTGTGACAGCGGTTGAGACGCCTGCGACTCGTGACAGAGCATCTGCCACGACGTTGTCTGGGCCCGCGACGTAGCGGATGTCCGTAGAGAATTGGGCGATGTAGTCCAATCTTCGGTATTGCCAGGGTGAAGCTCGTTCTGGTTTTTACTTGAACGCGTGAGTCAGCGATTGATGGTCAGTGAAAATTATCACATGCCGCCCTTCAAAGATGTTTCTGAAGTGCAATACCGCTTCGTAGATCGCCTGCAGTTCCCTATCGTAAGTCGCGTGTTTCTGCGAGGAAATCGTGAGTTTCCTGCTGAAGAATGCACGCGGTTGCCAGGAATTGCGGTGTTTCTGCTGTAAAACGGCTCCAATCGCGTGATCTGACGCGTTCATGGAAATGGCCCACTCTGCTTCAATATTTGGATGAGACAACAGAGTGGCCTCCGCCAGAGGCTGTTTGCTATGCGTAAAGGCGTCTTCAAGGGCTGGAGTCCAGGTCACTGGATGCTTTCCTTTGACGGTTAGACCCTGGGTTGCTGTGTTCAGTGCGGCGAGAATTTCTGTGGCTCCCTTGATGAACTTCCGGTAGAAATTTAAAGTACCGACGTACCTGCACAGTTCTTTTACGGTAGTAGGCCTGGTGAATTCGAGAATCGCGTTGACTCGATCTCTGGGAGGCTTAATTCCCTGGGCGTTGATCGTGTGTCCAAGGAAAATGACCTCTGGCTACCCCAGGACTGATTTGGCGACGTTTACTATCATTCCGTAGTCCTATAGGCGTTGAAAAAGTATTCTCAGGTGTTCGCGATGTTGTTCTTCATTGTCCGATGGTACCAAAATGTCATCTATGTATGGAAACAGAAATGGTACATCACGTGTCACTTCATCTATTAGGCATTGCAAGGTTTGAGTCGCGTTCCTGAGGCCGAAAGTCATGTACGGAAATTCAAAAAGTCCAAAAGGCGTGATTATCGAGGTCTTTTGGATGTCCTCAGGTGCAACTGGAATTTGATTAAACGCTTTGACTAGATCTATAATAGAGAAAATTGTTTTGCCGTACAAGTTGGCAGCAAAATCCTCTAAATAACGAATAGGGTACTTATCTGGTATAGTTCTGTCGTTAACTGCGCGGTAATCTCTGCATGGTCTTCATTCGCCTTTCTTTTTCGAGGCCAAATGGAGCGGAGATGACCAAGGACTTTCACATCTCCTT